GCCAGCCCAACACTTGAAATTTTTAAGTCTTGGATCAGTCATTTGTGTGACTTTGGGCAATTAAGTTTTAATCTTCCATTTCTTTATCAGTAAAAAAGGTGGGTTTAAATGTACTGGTTTTTAAAAATTCAGTTTACAAGTCTGCTTCTTTGGTGATGAATATATGATGTTCTCATAGAAAATATACTTTCAGAATTTAAAGGCATTTTAAGAAAAAGTTACATGTCTTGTTCCTCTACTACATGGATAAGTCTCTTTCCCCCAACAGTTGAGAGGGTCAGCAAGGATGCATTCTGGATTTATAATTCTGGGTAATAGGACTATACTGATTGATTATAAGAAGAGTGTAAATCTCATTTTAGCTTTATGTGGTTTTTTTTCCCCCCTATTCTTTTTTTTTAGAATCTCTATACAAGTTGAGCATCTCTAATTTGGAAATGTTCATTGGAGCATTTCCTTTAAACATCATAAAAGTTTTGTATTTTAGAGCATTTTGGATTTTTGGATTAGGGATGCTCACCAGTATGTATTCTGCAGATACTGCAAAATCTGAAAAAAAATCCAAAATCTAAAACATTTCTAGTCCCAAGCATTTTGGATAAGGGATACTCAACCTGTATTAGGTTATATCCCTTACTGCTCATAAATCTTATTTTTTCTTTGCATTTTAGCAATGCTCGCATGTGATGAATTTGTAAGCATCTGATATCCAGGGACGGCAGATGTACCTATCTCTAAATTGAATGGGATAAATCATATATAATTTTAACTTGGGTTTTTTCCCTTTGTTCTAGTAGAAATTCTTATTAGAGGGAAAATTGGGAGGGAATGGAAACTAGAATAGATAGTTCAGACATATAGCTCATTTTAAGTTGGTATAAATGTCAATATGGATGTAAAATTTACTGCAAAAATAACCTTTGCATTTATTTTTTATTAAATATTTGTATTTATTATGCAAGGGAATATAGATTATAGTCTGTAACATTGTGCACATTTCATTATCCATCACGTTTTAACTTAAAAGAAGGAATACATTTGTGTTTCCCAAGTGTCACATAACCACCCCCTTCAAAAACATTTTTTATTGTTACTTTGAAAGACTGAGACAGGGGTGTGTGAATATTTTTTATTGATTTGTTTAACTGGTAAATTTAACCTAAAGATTATAAAAATTGGTTTTTAATAAAGGAAGATGCAACACAATGTTTAATTGCATTGACTTTTTAGATAAAGATAAATATAATTACTACGTATTTAATTTTTTTTAGTTGAACTTGGTGTGGTTACTGTTCTTCTGAAGCACTGATGCCTGTCTCTTTAGCTTCCATATCAGTCAGTATAAAATCACTTGTATGTACTTTGTGCAATCATTCCAGAACCATTTTGTGTGTCATGAAATGAAAGGTTAAATATTCTTCATAGAAAGAAAGTTGCTTATGTTTGTGTGTCCTGGGTGAAGCCATTTTAGTAAGTTTGGTATTAGAGTGACAAGTATAAATAGGAAAATAGCTTCAAATTTCTATCATGTTATATATCCCATCAGTTTGACTTCTCCTTACTCTTTGACTCAAATCCAGTTTTGTCAAGTGATAACTATGAATATGCCTAAGGTTTATTACTTGGTTTCATCTTAAGAGACAAATAGTAAGGCATGCATAGTTAACATCACATTTTCACTATGGTTGCATGAGTGAAAAACCTTTATCTTAACTATTTGATAGGTTATGAGCACAAACATAAAATAAGAATAGCTTTTAATACAAGTTGAATACTTTATGTTGCTGATATTATGCTGATCATTGTCTGCCTTTATATCTTAAACATCTTTTAAAAACCAATGTACCAGGATAGATCTAATGGTAATTTAAACCTTTTCTTTGAAATATTTAAAGTTTTTTTCTTTAAGCTTTGTTGAATATCCAATTTCTAGTCATTTTAGATGTCCTTTGACAATTGGAAATATTGGCACTATTCCAGGAGGCTTTACCTGTCAAGATTATGATAAATGGACCATATGACTTGGGATTTTACTAGAAATGACTATTAATAGCCCTGACCTTCTCTCTATGTTAGATAAGGTTTTTTTTTTTTTAAATTTTACACTTCTTCCTGAAGTAGCAGCACTTGACATGAGTTTTATGAAAAATTCTTGTCCTCAGCACTGTGTAAATATTTATTTTACAGAGCCATAAGTGTGATTCTTGGTGACAGGTGGAAGAAAATGAAGAATGAAGAGAGAAGGATGTACACATTAGAAGCGAAGGCTTTGGCTGAAGAACAAAAACGTTTAAATCCTGACTGTTGGAAAAGGAAAAGAACCAATTCAGTATGTTTCAACAAGTAATTGTTTAAAATTATCTTCACTTTTCCCCATAGGTGTACTGGCATATTGGAGCAGTTGTTACAACCTTTAAAGGTTGTGTTGATGCTATTTCTTAGCATTTTTATACTTCAAAACCTAATAATGTTTTCACATCATCATATAAAGAAGATTCCCTTTGTTTTCATCAAGTGCCACTATACTTTGCATAAAAAGTAGAAATCTCAGGCAAACTTAAAAAGAATGTTTGTCCTAAATGTTGAAGTGGAAAAATAATCTTGGGATGTAGTATTTCTAGTTGTGTTGAAAGATGGGTGTTATTAACCCATTAATAGCACCAGCTGAAAATTTCTCTAATTTGTGGTGGTCTTGACAGCCTTTCTTTAATTGATGAGGGACTAATGAGAATGGAGGTGTGAGGGTACATTAACTAACTTTCATGGGGACTTCTGCCATTGGCACAGAATTTCTAGATTAAAAACCTCAAGTGGTCCGTCATTTTCTGCCATGTGAGACCCCTGCATTGCTATAAAGCCACCACCAAAGAAGACCCTCACCAGATATGTTCTCTGGACTTTGGACTTCCCAGCCTCTGAAACAATAAATTTTGTTTTCTTATAAATTAAAAAAAAAAACAACTCAAGGAGGAGAACTAGAAAGGCCCAGGAAAGGTGGTAAACAAATTTGCATCATAATAATATCTTGGATAGACTTGGTTGTTATAATTTCTCTGTTAACTAGACTAGCATCTCTTAGTTCAGTGTTTTTAAATTAATTCACGTGATAGAACAGAATGGGCTCAATTTGAATTATTAAAAAGAAAAGGGAAGATGTCAGTAGTTTATAGTAGGAGGGCTAAGATGTTTTAAATTCATTATATATTTAAGCCAGTTTTTTATAGTAACATGAAAGTCACATCCGTTTAAATTTTTCAAAAAATTCTTTTAAATCATAATTAGATGAACTAGTGGCTGAACTGGATTTTGGAAGTTCTTTATTAATTTAGAATTTCATGTGGTAGGATTTTTCCTGTCTGCCCTTTCTTTTCTGTTCATCCTAGTCCATCTCTCTTATTATAAATTTTGTGGGTGCTTAAGCCATCAGATGTTAGCAAACTTTCAAAATCACCTTTGAGAAAGCAATCTTTTAATAGTAAATTTATAAACATCTTACAAATCTTAGTTTTCATATGTAGAATTACTGTGTATTGATTTGTAAACATTCACTGAGTTTCATTTTATTTCCACAGGGCTCACAACAGCATTAAACCAGGATGCTTATTTTCTTAAGTCTATATTTGCATAAACATTGACTCTTGATGGATTGACTTAAGAAGATCAAGGTCTCACTATTTATCCTGAATTTGTGTGACCATGAGATACTGATAGCATTGGGTCTTGAAATGATTTATTAATATGAGTGAGGATTTGCTTTCTCCATTAGAGCATTAAGTAAGCTAAAACTATCAACATTGTAAACCAAATTGCCTTATTTTTCTTCCAAACTTCATATATGTCTATCAGGTAACATAGGCTTGAAAATTGATATCCTGTGGTGCTAAAGTACAGTAGAAAGAGAGACGTATATACATGTTTTATTTTAAATTGTATGAAAGGGGAATTTAAAAATATGTAACTGCTGTTTTATACATTGGCTCCTTACTGCTTATTAATCTGTATTGAACACATGATGGAATGAAGCAAAAGCTGGGAGTTGGCCTTTCCTCGAGTGACCACCACATGGCCCAGCATCTGTGCCAAACACAGGCGCTCCTAGACTGGCCGGTGCCAAGAGGCTACCAGAACATGTGGCAGGTGATGGTGTGGTGTCCCGGCAGAAGAAGAGCCACCTGCTGCAGTTACCATGAGCATGCTGAATTTATGCACCAGGTGGCAGCACCCATCCATTATTTCCAGTGGAGACCTAGCCCAGGCCAAGCTAAAGTTAGTTAATAGCATTGGGATATAGTCACTGTAATGGTGCTATTAACAGTCGACACCATTGTATTTTTTAACTTTGTGTTCTGTACCTCCTCAGCCACATATCTGACATATATTTTGTCATCCTATCTCCATGGTGGGGGCAGACTTTGCACTTACTGCAGTGCAACACTTGCACTTTACTTTTCCTCCAACTGTCTAAAACTAGAGCAAATACATTGGCAATACAGCTGCTTTTGCTCTGAGCTACTACAATCATGGCTTTTCATGTTACTTACCAAGTGGTGTTTCTGGTTAAGAATCACAGCTGTAAAATTGATTTCAGTTCATTACACTTCATGATGTTGCCCCTAAATTTTGCACACTATATTCTTGTATATTATTTCAAATAAAATGAAAAAAGTTGTTTATTTCTGACTTTTACTGATTGATTGATCTTGACTGAATTTTATGTATGAGATGTCAGAATAACAGGTTCAGGAAATGGAAAATAAACGTAAGGTAAATTCTTAACACTAAGAAAACTTTTGATTTTATAATTAGGAGGTTGCTGATGGGATTTTAAAAGCTGAATTAAAAACAGGTCAAGGGCAATGAAAAAATAAGGATTCACATTATTTACTATTTGTAGAGAATCTTTCTTTGTTGAATAAAAAATATTTTTATTTTTAACTTGACATCTTTGTTACAAGGTTAAATGGTCCCCAAAGTCTGCTTTTCAATAAAATGACAAAGCATAAAGAAAGCCTTGGTTTATTTGAAGATACAGGATGACATACTTAAACAAGAACACTTAACCCTAAATCTTAGCTTTGGGAATATGCCAGCGGTTCCCAAACTCTTTTGCATATTGGAATCACTTTGGGGATAGTTTTTTTTAAAAAAAAAAAACTGATCCCTGGTTCCCACTCCCAGATGTCTTAATTAGTGTGGAGTGCATTTTGGGCATCAAGATTTTTAAAAACTCCCCCAGTGACAAGAATGTGCAGCCAAATTTGGGAACTACAGGGCTACATTTACTGAGGGAGGAGGAGGCAGGTTGGGATAAGCAGGGTACCTATTATATAACTTGGTCTTATCTCTTTAAAAGCAATGATGACTTCGTGTGCACCCATAAGAAGACATAGTTATGTGATAGGAAAGAAATGTTAGCTAGCTTTGTACAAAAAATCTGAAAGAGGAAGCGCTGAATATCTTTCTGGAAAAATCAGGTCCACGGAGTTTAAAGGTTGTGATGATGAATCTATTTTATGCTACTTAAAGTACATTTTATGCTACTTAAAGTAGAAGTGCTAATGAGGTAAACAGAAAGATCAATAGGAAATATAGGAAAATCAGTTACATTCTACAACAGTAGATAGTGGCTGTCTTTCAGAGTATCTATTTAAGTGCTAATTTTGGATTAAGGGAAGGTAGAGATTAACAAAGATTTCACATTGTTACTGAAGAGCAGATGTAGCTTTTTGAAGCAGCTGAACCATTATGGGGTAAACTGGTGCAAATTCTCTGCCTTCTCTACTTCTCACTGATTGAACATAAGCTTCCAGGGCTCCCCTAAAAATAAAAACAATGTCAAAATATTAGAGGGTACCAATATATCAAAATTAGAAATAAGCCCATTTCTGGAACCGCTATGCCCAGTTCCATACGCCAAGTGAACAACAGTCTTCAAACATTTATTGGTAGTGTTACTATGGTTGACTACACTTAGTGTGCAAACTGTCTTTGGTCTGCATCGTATGTAGTGGTCTCCCTATTGAAAAGGCTTCTGAAAAGTCGCAGGCAGCCTGTGCCTATTCACAGAGCTCCCACGGGAGAGGCTGTACCTTGGAAAGGGATGCTTAGGAGTGCTGGGGTATAGGGTCCTTTGGCACACACAGTCCTCTAATTTCTGGCAAATCATGTGACGAAGAAGCAGTCTGAATTTAGTCAAGTGTATATGGTAGCATTCAGTTATTTACGATGATCATATCATATTCTCTTAAATTAGATCAGGGGGTCAGCAAACTGCCTGCAGGCCAAATCCAGCCCTGTGCTTGTTCATGTACCATCTATGACTTTTCACACTGTAGCGGCAGAGTTGAATAGTTACGGCAGAAGAGACCATGTGGCCTGCAAAGTCTAAAATACACCTTGCTCTTTATGAAAAAAGTGCCAATCCCTGAATCAGATTGTCTGTATAAGTGGAGCTAAAAATAATGGTTACAAGATTGTTAATTTTTCATTATTGGTCTACTTAAGTCTCAGGTATACCCATCTATTTTTGTTATATTGTTTTCTTCCAAATGTCACACTTTGAAATTAGAGCATTTCTATAAAGATGTAAATTAATACCATTACTCAGTTCACATAATCTAATACATAATTCTTACTGTTTTTTTCTTGGCTCCCAAACACTGAAAATACTAATCCTTTGTCAGGTTTGTTCATTATCTAACTGTGGGGAATATACTTCCACAGAGTCTGCAGCTCATTACTTACTCTGCAGTGCCCCTCTACTCCACCTACCACTTTCACACATAAATTTCAAATCTCTTATTTCCAACCCTGACCTCTCCTGATTTTTGTTTCTACCTGTCTTCTGGTCTTTATCTGATTTGTTTGCAGGTATCACTCAAACTCATCTGTCATAAAATTAGGGCAGTGTTCTACCTGCCTTTCCTGAATACCCCCCCCCCAAAGGGCACTATCATCTAAAGGTCTCTAAAGTTCTTTTTTGCTCCTACACCTAACCAGTTACCAAATGCTATTAATTTACCACCCATATTTCCGCATCCAGTGGAATTTCCACATCTCCCCTTCGCTTCAGTTTGAACCCTTACTGTCTTGTGCCCTAATGACTGCTGTAGCCTCTATGTGGCGTTCATCCTGGTGCTGTGTCTCCCTGTCGGTCTTCCACACTATAGCAGGAGATCTCTTCCTGATGTATCAGCACTTGCCATGCTCTGTTCTCTACAGGACAATGCCTGAACTCAACCCAGCTGATACCAGCTTTATCATCAACCTCCCCACCACCCGTTTCTGTGCTACTGCTGGTTTTTAGTTTGATGTGGCCTACCCTGAAATCATTAGTCTCAGTCTTTGTGTTACCAAGTAATGCACAAAGCAACTAGCTTCACTCCATTTGTGCCTTTTAGCCCAACCCTACTGCTCGCACAGGGAGAGATCAATGGTGTATGGTTGTATATTACTTTGCAGTAAAGAAATCTCTACCCAACAAGGTAGATGCTGATAAAGGTCCTGTGTATCGTTGGCCATACCGAATATCTCACAATTAGTGAGACATTCTCTTAGGTCATGGCACACTGTCTTCCTTATCCTTTGGATGCCCTTCCTGTTTCCTTCCTTGCAAAGCTCTTTATCTCTTAGGACTCAGCTTCAAATGCTCCCTTTTTAGTAAAGCCTTTCCCAACTCCGGTGGCACAAAAGAATGGAAACTGCCTTGGGAGCACGCAAATTTGTAGACAAGTCTAATTTCTGTACCATAGGCTTGTCTTAGCCGGATCTAGCATTTTGAAATTCCTGAAGGATGGCTCCCTGCTCCATTCAGGGCATAAGTACGTTAAATCGGCTATGTGGAGGGATGGGCAGGAGAGATGGTACCTCATACTCAGTCCCAAGTCCCATCTAATACATAATTCTTAACTGGCATGCAGGAAGGAATTCAATGCTCTTAGAGAACAATGTTTTGTGAGATGCCTTAGTTCATGTCAGAGCTGATCCTTAATGGAGCTATTTCTGTATGAAAAAACTTGCTTCTTTTAGTAATACTTTTCTAGTTACTATGCCATCCCAGGCAGTTGCCCTCAGTCCCCAAATGTAGTCTCTACAGATTTATATACAGTAGAGAAATCCCCATGGGCTCAACTCTCTTTGAGGCGATGGTATATATCTGAGTCTGAGGAATAAGTGCGTTGAAATTCAGAGAAACTAATTGTTCCATAGTGAATGGTTCCATTCTATTTAATAAAGGGACAAAAATTAACTTAGCAGATTCATTTGCATTAAAAGGTTAAGACATTATAAAATTTAACCACTGTGTAGAAGGAAGCTCAGAAATGAGTTTGGTTAGATTTTTTTCGGTTCACCAAAAACACCATCAGAACCGTGGAGAGAAAAACAGATTAAGCTGCCCTCCCACTTAAAATCAGAGCAAGATTTTGAAGCACTTATTAAATTACTTCATTTACTTCAGCAAAACATTAGCTTTCTTGGAAGTCAGGCCAAGCATTATGTAAGAGGTAGTCTCAACTCTGCTTTGTAACCAAAATAAGCAGATTATTGAAGTTATCCTTATTGGGAAGGAACAAAACAAAACACAATTAGTAGAGGAATGGCTTGTGGTAACATGGCAACACTGCTTAGTGTAACATAAACTAGCCAAGTGGAGGTTTTCATGGAAAACAACGTTGGTTTTCCTCAGGCATTAAACATTCAGTATGAGGGCTGGCTGGTTAGCTCAGTTGGTTAGAGTGTGGTGCTGATAACACCAAGGTCCAGGGTTCAATCCCTGTACTGACCAGCTGCCAAAAAATAGAAATAAAAAAATAGTGTGATTAGTGTTGAAATACATAAATGACTTAGAGATATACCCCATGCCTCAATAGGCAGTTAAGCCCCAAGCTTGTTTCCCTGGCTCCATCCTCTTGGTCCTATCTCGGGCACTCAGTTCCCAGAACTGACAGGTATTTATCTAGTGACATAGGGATACTGGGAAAAGAGATCAAACACTACTGTCCATCAACAGGGATCTTGGAGTTCTGCAGAAACACAGAGAAGATGAAGGAACGGTTCTCAGCCTGTGCGCCTTGGACCATGGTGAGAGGGCACGCAATTCAAGGATGCACGTGGCTGGCACTGAGCATCTTCTGATAATTGTATAGAGAAAAGTACTACTAGGCTACTAAAGTCTGTGTACATCATAAGTGTTCTCCTACTCAGAACCATAGTAAGAAGAGTTTAGCTGACTGCGATTAGCTCAGCTGGTTACAGCGTGGTGTTATAACACCAAGGTCAAGGGTTCGGATCTCTGTACCTGCCAGCTGGAAAAAAAAAAAAAAAAAAAGGTTGCTGCTCCACCAAATGTCAAGAGTAAATGCGTTTGAGGCAAACCTACAAGTTCAGATGCCAATACTGGCCAGCTGCCCCCCAAAAATAATAATAAAAAAAAAATTAACTAGACTAGTGTTCATTTAAGCTCTAGAAAAACATCTGGTATCAAAAGGAAACAAAGGCAGGAGAGAGTCATTATTTGCTGTTTATTTGGCAGCAGTAGTACACTGTCCTCAATTTGCCCTACTTTACGACAACCTATCACATTATGCTGGGAGCAACAGGCTGAGTATGCAACAAGGTTTACCCCAGAAGCTAAAACAAATCTGCTGACATTTAAAGAGCAATACTCACCCCGGGTTTATCTACAGGGGAAAGCAATTCATCCAGTGATACATCAGTATGCAGGAGCAAAATTAGGTTTGCAGTAATACATTAGTAAGAACATTCTCTAGGACAAAGGTTCCCTGCTTGCCAAGAGCCTGGGCTGCGGCAGGAGTACAATTTTTTTGAATCCCCCAAGGAGGGTTTAATTTTCTGCTCAGGGCAGGAAGGTTCTGGTATCAGCCATGTGTGAGGGAAGGGTAGACCTTATTTAAAAGCATGACAGTATTTCTGAGCATGATTTTCAGTTGCTAAATTTAGGTTTAGCAACAGCACTGCTGATGAAATCACTCAGGAGACATTTTTAAAGAGAAGCGAAAGAAAACAGATTTGTGATGTACCCACAGCAGACAACTGTTGTGGATGAACTCATTCCAACTTGTTAAGAAGACAAAAATGAGTCCTGTCCAATTAATTGAATTCTCTTCTATTACCAAGTGTGTTGCAGCTGACTGAATCTTTGGGTATCAGGAAAAAAATTCACACAGACATCACAAATCCTTGAGTTAGCCCCAGGCCAGACACCCTCATCCACAGCCAAAACCTTTTCTGAGGTCAATTTTAACCAGTCACATTAACTGATGGGAGGCTCACCGGGCAACCTTCCCCATTTCTGGGGCATATACTCATAGCTACAGAACAGATGAGCAAGGAAGAAGAGCAGGCACCTGGGCTAATCTACTCTTTATCCACACAGGTGCCCAGGGGACCCACTGGAGGCTCTGGGCACCAAACTTGAGGGCTCAGCGCCACTCCCGAAAATTGATGGGCTGATGTTTCTTAATGATCTCTCATCGCATCTTCAGTGGAATCCCTCACCTGACCACTGGAATATGTCCCACTAGGACAGTGGGTCGCACCCTTGGTTGCACTGTGGATCAGCCTGGGAGCTATAAAAAATCCTGATGCCAGGTCAAAGCCCCAGAGATTCTGAGGTAGTCAGTCCAGGGTGGCCTGGGCACCAGGATTTCTCTAAGCTCTGTAAATGATTCAAGTGTGCAAACAGGGATGAGAACCATCTCATCACATTAGCCCCACTCTGGCTTCGGGGCTATCATCAAAGCGTCACCTGCACTGAGGCTCAAACCAAAGTTTATTGGGTGCCATGGTCCCAGACCACTGCATCAGGATGCCCTAGGAGAGTTGAGAATGGCTTCAAGAGCTATTTAAGAGGACAACTGACTGGATGAGGAGAAAGAGGGTGATGAGGGAGCTGAATGATGATTTATTTTATTTTATTTTTTTTTAAAGATGACCGGTAAGGGGATCTTAACCCTCAACTTGGTGTTGTCAGCACCACGCTCAGCCAGTGAGTGAACCGGCCATCCCTATATGGGATCCGAACCCTGGGCCTTGGTGTTATCAACACCGCACTCTCCCGAGTGAGCCACAGGCCAGCCCTGAATGATGATTTAAAGGTTTAGGTGATGGTGACCTCCCAAGCAAGACAAGGAGTATAGGAGAATGAGAAGGCTTGAAAGGAAAGATGATTTACCTTGAACATTTTGGGGTTCAGACTTCTGTGGGATATTTGAGTGGCAACATATGATAGCAAGTTTACTGGCCTGAGATCCCATGCAACTGAATGAATCAAAGACCTGGGGACCATTGATATAGAAGAGGCCACTAGAGGCATTGGTCTGGATGAGCTCACCTGGGGACCAAAGTATAGACAGGGTGAGAGCAAAAAAAGAGCCAGGAACAAAATATGGAAATGGTGGCATTTAAGGAATGGATGCAAGATGACAATTTAGCAAATGGCACAGAAAAGAGATGGTCAGAGAAATTAGAACAGAGACATGACTGTGGTAAAGCGGAAGCTTCTAGACGGCAGGGTCATGTCTCGGTTTACTCTGAATCCTCAGTTCCTAGCACAGGGACTAGCACGTCAATAAAATGTGGGCATAGCATCAGTAAAAATGTATTGAGACAGTTGATGAGTTTAAAGGAGGAGATGGTAGTCACCTCTAGCTAAAGCTGCAGACTGAAAAGGTAAGAATGGAAACATTTGGTGGCTAGGAGGTCTCTGCTGATTTTGGTGGCAGCAATTTCAGAGGAGAATGTTGATGGAAGAGAGATGCTTAATAAGCCTTACGTGACAGTTACAGCATCCTGCCCTGGGCATGGCTGGGTTGTGTGTGCATGTGCATGTGTAGATCTGGATGCATTTGAGGGGCACTACTGGAGGGCACATGGTATCTAAGTGGCTGCTGGGTTCTCCTTGTGTTCTACTAATAACTGTGTCCTGTTTCAGTGTTTTTAAAAGTTCGTTCATATCTGTGCTCCACCAATTCAAAAACTGCAACACATGAAATAAAGCCGAAAATATGGAGCTATATAATTTACATCAGGTAAGTTGCAAAAGCAGGAAGTGCATGGTTCTTAGGGCTGCATCAAGCAAGGGATAGCACAAAAGAGGATGTGAAAGTTTGGAAGTGAAAGACATGGAGACCAAAAGTTGTTGAGTCCAACAGTGCCAACTGCTGGGTGCCCCCACATGTGTGTGCCTGTGCAGTGAGGTGGCCTGCCACAAAGAGGTACACTCACATCTCCACACCCACCCAAGCCCTGCTCCTTCATCCTCCCCTGCTCCTCCCACCCTCCCTGGGCTTCTAGCCCAGATGGGTACCCCTGGAATACTTACCTGATGAGGATGAGCCTGTCCTTTTCAGATGGATGGTCATCCAGCCACTGGGAGAAGCGTGCATGGGACCACTCTGCTCTCTGCAATTAGAGAAGAGAGAGTGTACCCGGGCATTCTTCAACGAACGGCAGCAAAAGCTGCTGCAAAAAGCACTCTCAAGGGTTCCCAAGGTGAAATGACCCCAAAATGGTGCTGACCCACCACCAATGGGAAAATCCAGGGGGCTTCTTGGAGGTCAGGAAGGTGCTTGGTGCACTACTGGAGGGCACATGGTATCTAATGTGCTTGGAGCACCTTCCTGACTCCCAACGAGCCTTCTGTATTTGCCAATTGATAGTGGGTCAGCAAAGGAAATGGGGTTTCCAAAAGCTTTATGAACATAAGTTACTTGTGTTATTATTTTTAAAGGGCTAATTCTGGATTCATCAGGTAATTTTTCACATTGCTGAGAAAGCAGATCCTGAAAGTGCGAGTTTCCTTTCCGAATCACTGTCCACTGTCAAAGATAGACATGACTAAATAAAGCAGGAGAGGGCCAGGAACCCATTCAGTGAATGGAACTCGGTATTCCAGAGTTAACAGGGAAGACTCACAGCACAGTTCTGGCTTCACTTTATTACCTGGAAGGGGGATTTCAGCTCAGTGGGTGCTCTTGTGAACAAAAACTGAATGATGACGCTGAATGGAATAATGTCCCCCAGTGCAGGACTATTGGCCACATGTTCACTTGTCTGGAAGAGCAGTGGTCTAGAAGAAGAAAAAGCAGAAGTTATTTCATGCTGTTCAATACTGAAAAAGGTGATTTGGTGGGAGACTCATTCTCCTTGAATAACAGCATTATTCCTAGACTTGGCTACTGAAGGACTCTCCTATTTCTGAAATCCCCTTCAGCCCTAAGACATACACGGGCGCACACCCACACCCTGACACATATTCTCACAGGAGGGCCTGTTCTTCAGCTCCTTCTTTGACCTCTAGCTCACTGGTGTATGGGTATAACTTTACTTCCAGTTGACTCATCAAAATCCCCTCTTAGACTTCTTCTAATTAATAGGCTAAAATCCTATAAAGCACAAAGTAAAGCCTTCAAGCTGTTGTTACTAATAGATTCTTACCTTGGTCAATTTCAGCTTTCATTTTAGAAAGAATTCTTTTGGGGGCTATTGTCGCATAAACTCAAATATTTTCTACACAACTTTTCAAAAGGACAATTATGCCTTTGTATAAACAAAATAATTACTTTGCTGAACATGCCATCAAAAATTTATGCTAGATCTCTTTTAATACACTACATGTCTGGGTTTCACTGTTCACAATTTTACAGGAGGAATATGCAAGCAAATCCACTCCACTACCAATCATCTACCACCTTGTACAAAAAGCTGGCAAGAGTTATTTTAAACTGTTATTGATCTTTCCTTGGCTTTGAGCTCTGGTGTACAAGTGCCAATTATAAGCCAAGCTGTAGAGGTTGAATCTGAAGAGATAAGATGGTAGAACATCTCTTGACAGATCAGGTAATGATTCTGAAAGATGTAAAACAGTACTGTATCCTGGTCTCTTTCTTCACCCCATCTTAATTACTCCAGTCTACAAATGAAGGCCTGTACAAAACAGAGAGGCAAATTTTCTTACACTAATGATAAGGCTTTATACCAAGAGTCAGGAGTGCTCTCAATAGACAGCTCATTCTTCTTAGATCTACAATATTATTAGAAATAAATATTTTTTGATGAACTATTCTACAAGTAAAATCTATCTCTGACAGATTTTTCTAATTGCAACTGCTATATCAAATAACATTATATTATAATTTATTTATTTCAGTTACTGGGGAAATATTCCAGTTAATTTATGTTGTCTATCACCAGAAAGCCATAAAGCTCCAAACCAGGCATTCCATGAGAGTATAACTAAGGTCTTTCTGCGGCTACCACAGTGAGAATGTAGTATACCTGCCTTGAAAATTTTCAGTGTCCTATGCTGCAGAGTTTAGGCAATCAGTAAAGTACCTAATCAGGTATGAAAACATTGTTGGAGGAATTTTGGTTTTGTCCATAGGCATCCCTGTAAGTCCATCTCTGTATGGATGACATTGTCTTCATCTAGGTAAAAGCTCCTAGTTTTAACAAAATAACAGCAGCAGCAACCGCCAACACTTATAGAACTTACAGTGTGTCAGGCACACTTTAAAGCTCCATAAAGGGTGAGGTCAGCAAGGAAGGAGAATAGGAGGCCTCAGGCTTTACTATGCCCCCAGCCCATAGAAAGCCCAACTAGCGACTATTCACAGACAAGACCCAAATTTGGGAATAAGACAGACACCCACATATAATGGACCACAAAACCATTTGGAAACTGCTTTAGAAGAGTAAGAGGAAAAGTCTCACTTTGCATCATCCCATCCTTTCCCAAGTCAGCACAGTACAACACAGAGAGGATTCCTCTGGGCCCATGGTTTCTAAAGTGGGAAGAGAACTGGATGTGGACATCCAGCTTCCCTGGCATTCTGAGATGCTTTGCAGGAAGCCCAATTCTGCCTCACCTCATGTGGAACACTGGGGTAACAGCAGGGCCAGATTCCCTGGAGTCAAGGAGAAACAAAGAAAGGAGGCAGAGCTCACAGCAATGGCACTCAATCACAGACACCAATCAATGACAAAGCCCACTCACAAAGCTGAGCTGGTTGCTCCCAGAAGCCTGGTGAGAAGTTCAGCCTGACTTGAATCCCTAGACAGCCTGCCTCCATGCCCAGCCTCAGTCCACTCAGGCAGGAAGACAGCTGCCACAGCGCATTTCTACAGAGCCCATGGGCTGGACTTGCCCGACATGGGAGTAGGAACAGCAGTACTACCCAGTGCTCACCACCAAGCATTTTGGCAGAGCACAAGGACTAGATCTGCCTGACCAGGGAGTCCATACAGTGGCTCTGCTCAGCCTCAGAGTTCACGCCACGGGACAGCCTAGGTAAGGAGATGCCCGCCACCACACATTTTTAAAAAGCATAGCCTCTGTACCTGCTTGTCCGGAGCAGCAACTGTGCCTCAACATGCAGCCTGTAGCCTTGCCTGCAGCCCTGCCCAAATGTAGAACTTAAATAGCAGTACTACCAGGAAATATACCCTACAACCCTACCATATCAGAGGTGATTACAGGGCCCAGCCAGCAGCTTTGTCTGATTGCAGAGCCCAGCCAGTGGTCTTGCTAGACAACAGAGACCAGATAGCAGCCCCACCTGAACTCAGAGCAATGGAAGAGGGCCAGCCAACCAGAGAACATGACAGCAAGCTCTGCCAGTCCAGGGTCAATAAGCTTGCCCATTCAGAATTACAGGCTAGACTAAATAGTCAAGTTCTATCCCTACCATAGAACACCTGTATAGGCCAGAAGAATGTGACTGTCTCCTCAAATGCAATGACACAAGAATTATGAAGAATCAAGGAATCATGACATCACCAAAAGAAACTAATAAAGCTCTAATAATGGACCCTAAAGAAGTGAAGATCTATAAAATAACTGACAAGAAATTTAGAACCATCCTCTTAAGGAAGTCCACCAAACTACAAGAATATATGCATAGAAAATTAAATAAAATGTGGAAAACAACACGTGAACAAAATGAGAAATATGACAAAGAAATAGAAATTATTAAAAAATAGAAATCCTAGAGATTAAGAATACAATGACTGAAATAAAAATTTCAATAGAAAGCTTCAACAGCAGATTTATTTAAGCAAAAGAAACAGTGAACTCAAAGACAGAACATTTGAATTTATCTGATCAGAGCAAAGAAAAAAAATGAAACATAAAAAATATAGCTTACAGGAATTATAAGACACAGTCCAGAGAAATAACATTTGCATTATAAAATTTTCAGAAGCAGAAGATAGAGAAAGAGAGCCAGAAAGCATATTTAAAGAAATAATGGCTGAACACTTCCCAAATCTGAGGAAAGATGCCAACATCAAGGTACATAAAGTGCAGATGTCTCCAATCAAACTCAATCCAAAGAGGAGTTCACAAGGACACATAATAATCAAACTATTGAAAGTTAAAAACAAAAAATTTTGAGAGCAGCAGGAAATAAACTTAGCACATACAAATGTGTCCCAATACAGTTATAGTGGATTTCTCAACAAAACACCCTATCTTCAGAGCAGAAAAGAGTGGGATGATACATTCAAAATGCAGAAGGAAAAAAGTTGCCAACCAAGAATACTGTACCAGGCTAAACTGTCTTTTAGAAATGATGGAGAAGGGCTGGCCTGTGGCTCACTCAAGAGAGTGTGGTGCTGATAACCACCAAGGCCACAGGTTTGGATCCTATATAGGGATAGCCAGTTAGCTCACTTGGGAGAGCGTGGTGCTGACAACACCAAGTCAGGGGTTAAGATCCCCTTACTGGTCATCTTTAAAAAAAAAAAAAGAGAGATGAGGGGAAATAAAACCTCTCCCAGTCAAAATTCCAGTGTTATTTTTCACAAAGATAGAAAAACAATACTAAAAAATATGGAACCACAAAACAACAACAACAAAACCCTTATAGCCAAGGCAATCTTGAGCAATAAGAACAAAGCTGGAGGCATCCCAGTACCTGATTTCAAACTGCATTACAAAGCTATATCATAATTAAAATTGCATGGTACTGGCATAAAAATAAACACATCAACCAATGGAACAGAATAGAGCCCAGAAAGGAACCCACATTACTGTCAATTGATTTTAGACAAAGGTGCCAAGAACACACAATGGGAAAAGGACAGTCTCTTCAATAAAGGGTGTCAGAAAAATTGGATATCCACATGCAGAAGAATGAAACTGGACACTGATCTCATACCATATTTAAAAATGAACTAAAAATGGATTAAAGATTCAAATGTAAGACCTAAAACTGTAAAACTACTAGAAGAAAACCTAGGGTAAAAGCTACATGACATTGGTTTGGGCAATGGTTTTTTGGATTTGATCCCAAAAGGTCAGGCAATAAAAGCAAAAATAGACAAATGAGATTACATTGGACTAAAAAGCCTCTGCACAGCAAAGGAAACAATAAGCAGAGGAAAAAGACAACCTATGGACTGGGAGAAAAATTGGCAAGCCATACATTTGATAAACAGTCAACATCCAAAATATAAAAGGAACTGAATCAAACACCTCAGTAGCAAGAAAACAAATTTTAAAATGGGCAAAGGAACTGAATAGACATTTCTCAAAAGGAGACATACAAATGGCCAACAGATATATAAAAAAAATACTCAACATACTAATGACCATGGAAATGCAAATTAAAACCACACTGAGATATCACCTCACACCTATTAGAATTGCTATTATCAAAAAGACGAAAGATAATAAATTTTCTTGAGGATGTAGAGAAAAGTTGTATACTGCTAGTGGGAATGTAAATTAGTACAGCCATTTTGGAAAACTTGAGGTTCCTCAAAACACTAAAAATAGAATTACCATGCTACCCAACAATCCCACTTCTGAGTATATGTCTTAAGGACTTGAAATCAGTATGTTGACAAGATGTCTGCATTCCCATGTTTACTGAAGCATTATTTATAATAGCCAAGTTATGGAAACAACCTAAGTGCCCATCAATGGATGAATAGATAAGGAAAATGTAGTAAACATATAAACAGAATATTGTGCCTTCAAAAAGAAGGCTGAACAAAAACCTTAAAAAGAAAGAATGAAAAGAAAGAAAGACAGAAGGTCGAATATTCATCCTTCAAAAAGAAGCA